ATTATTATTATTATTATTATTATTATTATTATTATTTTAATACATGGTGGGGCCCACTCATTATTAGTATTCCGGTGAATTTCTGTAAAATGATTCATGTACAAATGAATTTTTCAATTTTATAATGTCATAGAAATGGTACAATGGAGGGTGGAAGTAGTTAGAGAAATGATTTGTACATCATTCATTTTGTAATGTGGAATGTATATTTGTTATCCTTGTGTAAGAATGGATTATACCTGCACTCTCTTTTTCCCCTCCTTATGAGGCTTATTCATTACTAAACAAGAACAATTTTTTAATACACACATAAAAAATACAAGTTGTGACCAATATACTGGACTTTATCTGGTTATATGCGGATCTGAATTATTGTAAGAGTAACAAGTAACAAATCTACATCTGAATTATACCTTTAGATGTTACATTTGGTAGTTCTTTCCAGCTTTAATTGCCTCTTCCTCAGATTATATGTAATGTTTCATTTTACATCTAATGGGAATCTTGTTCTATAATGTGGAAAATGTGCATACACCAAGTGGTCTATCATTACATAAGAAGCTTAATACCTCTATGCAGTCCTGATATGACAAAAGTTGAGCAAATATTCAATAAAACAGTGATCAGTTATGCTGGTCTAGTGTTAGTATTTTAACAAATTTAGTAAATTTATCTAGCGATGAAAGCCCGTGGAATCGTGTTATATTATTTATAGAGAATAATGTTAAATTTGTTTGGGAGAGTTTTTCACAAATGTTAGTCTTTGTGTGTGCGCATGTATGTGTTCTTTCTTTCAGAGATTTATAAATGATTTCTTTATTTAGTGTTTCTCAAGATTCAGTATATATCGGCAGATTCAAAATAAGATAGATTTGATTTGGAATTGAGGTTTTTCAGTAGCTGAAGGATGCTGTTTGAAATATTCCATTTGGAGGCTGCATTGCGTTTTAGAGGCGTGGCAGATCAGATTATATATATTGTTAGAAATTTCAAGTATTGATGACATTTTACTGGAAAACAGACTAAACACTCACTTTTACATGTTTTTGTTGAGTCTCTAATCATTGTCTGGGATGAAGAATGATTTTGGATGCACAGCATGTCTTCCAATGCTTATGAGTTAATTGTAGAGGTACACTAAACGGGTCAACTGAACCTCTTGCCCAACTCTTTGTGGGGAGAGCTTGGCTAAGTTGTCCAGCACTCCAAACTCATGTTGGTCGGTTATAGTCCAAACTCTTGAAACTCACCCAACTTGGCCAGGCTATTTTGGCAAAAAGTATCTAGAGAGATTACTATTCTTTATCTTGCCTATCATCGTCTCTTGCTCAATGCACATGCACTAGCACTTGGAAAGTTGCATCTGTTTCTTCATTGCAGTCATATGTTACTTAGATCCTTGTTTTTGTGTGATTTTTTTCGATGTTTCAAGGATTCAATGCAGAGTTGATTCCAAATGGCAATGAGGAGGAAATTCAGGCTAAGC